TATATATATATATATATATATATATTTTATTTTATTTTTTTTTTTTTTATTTTTTTTTTTAAAGCGTTATTTAAAACTATCCACTTCTAAAGGTACTTCTTGTCAGGTTGTGATCATTTGGTTGGGGGATTTAATATACAAATAATTTGTTATTAAATGTTTTAATAAACATTTCTGTATTAATAGATTGCCCTGGAAACTCCACTAAGTCAAGTAAGTGCTTTATTTCTTTGAGATGCATTTGTAAATCACCTTCACACTCTAAGTGTCATGTATACTAAAATGTTTGTTTAGTTTACTCAGCTGTTTATGAGTAAGGAGATATACTAACATATGTCTTTATCTTTAGGTCTAGAGTCTGTGACCACCTCCAGTAAGTCACATCCCATTAATGTTCTCCACCAAAACATTTTTTTTTTTTTGGTGAAAAAACATTTTTTCCTGGAGTGTAAACTTTAAAGTCTCATACACTTAAGTTAAAATAGGTTTAGTCACCATACCTGTAAATGTATGTATCTCTGTTTGTGCAGACTCCAATGACAAACCCGACAGCCAAAACAAGGGTATGTAGGATTTATTTTGATTGCTTTTTATTTATGTATTTTTCTGCATTAATACAGTGTTTGTGAAAGTTGTAGCAATGGGAATGTTTTCCCCAGATATTTATATTCAACACAATACTGACATCATTTACTCAACCAATCACAACCAACCTTTCTAATTTCTGCAAAATAAATCATAAATCATTAAATAAATGTCAGTTGACCAGTACATTGAAATTGAAAACATATATTTTTTAGTGGTACATAGCAATGCATTATTACCCAGCCAGCATGTTTATTTAGTTGGGAAATGGTGCTAGTTTATGACCGCTGGAGATAAGCACCAGCACCCCAGCAACCCTTAAGGAATAACTGAAAATAGACAATAGATGGATGAAAATAAAGAAAAAAACTGTTTAAAAAGATTTTGAAGCAGTTTGCTCTTCTCATACCTTATCTGTGCTTCTATGTGCAGGCACCAAAGAACCCCTCTTGAAAGGACGCAAAGGTATATTTTTACTTTTTTTTCATACATTTGAAATAATTTGTTTATATAACATCAGTTCTTCTCAGTAAAACTAACATAAGTGCAAACTATAGGAAAATATCAATGTAAAAGCTAAAAACACATCAATTGATTCAAATTTCCAGACACTTTTGATTTAGGTTTTCCTTTGAGGATTATAATAATGTCAACGTCTTCAAAAGCTTTTCTTGTTGTTTACCACCCTGTTTTAAAGATCATTAATATTATCTGTTCTACCTATATTGAAATCACTCATGTTTACAAACAATTTCTTTACAGATGGCACTGGTGGAGATGGAGACAACACCAGCCAAGGTTGAATATTATTTATGTCAATTCAATAAAGATTCATTTTTTTGTGACACTCTTTCCTATTTGTTTCAAATATAAAGCTGCTATATCTAAATGAGACACCCAAAACAAATAACATTAAAAAAAAAACAATTTTTTTAGCATCTTTTTACCTTTAAGGTATATATATTTAGAAAAAAGTACATCTGCATTTGACTTATAAAGTTATTTTGGTTTTATACTTATTTTGTGGAAAAAAAGTCTAACTTTTCAAGCCTGCCAAACTCCTGCAACATTTTAACTGTTATTTTTATTTTCATCTGTAATGTAATAATAAATGATAAAATAAAAGGGAAAACTTACTTTTGTGTAAGATCATGAATAAATATGACATTTTCTTTCAACATTTCTCTCTGTGCTTGCAGAAAGTGGGATTTCATCTGGACAATCGGATAAAAAGAGTAAGTACGACTAAGATCCATATTAAGTATTTACAGATAATAAACTGAAACAGGAAACCTTGATGAGAGAGAATAACTTCAAGAGTGCTCTTGCATATATACTGGCTTATGGCGTATCTGTAAGACACAGAGAGATATGTGAAGTCTGTAGGCTTCAAGTCTTCAATCATGTCTAAAGGAATAATCTGTAGATTTTCATTATTATTGTTTAAAACCCTGATAATAAAAAAAACATGGTCATAGAGTTGTGTATATATATATATATATATATATATATATATCTATATATATATATATATATATATATATATATATATATATTTTTAAAGCATTATTTAAAACCATCAACTTCTAAAGATACTTCTTATCAGATTGTAATCATTAGGTTGGGAAATTTAATATACAAATATTTTGTTATTAAATGTTTTAATAAATGTTTCTGTATTAATAGGTTCCTCTGATGACTCCCCTCATTCAAGTAAGTGCTTTATTTCCTTGCAGTGCATTTGTAAATCACCTTCACACTCTAAGTATCATGTATACTAAAATGTTTGTTTAGTTTACTCAGCTGTTTGTGAGTAAGGAGATATATTAACATATGTCTTTATTTTTAGGTGTAGAGTCTGTGGCCACCTCCGGTAAGTCACATCCCATTAATGTTCTCCACCAAAAATGTTTTTGTTTTTTTGGTGAAAAAAGATTTTTTTTTCTTTGGAGCATTGAACAGAATCAAGTGAAATGTTTGTTGGTATGTTTAAAATAAAAACGCCGCAGAGTAAGAAGTGGGACAACACAAAAAAGATGTCCACTGTTTTATCTTCATGTCTTGAGTGCGATGTAATTTGTTTGTTTTTTTCTCTCTTTTTTCACATTTTCTCAAGAATCTTTTTCTTCCTTCAAATTCAGAAATTTTCACAATTTGCCTTTCGTTTTGACTGCAAATTTTAATGTTGTAGAGATACTATTTAAACTAAAAAAAAATTAGCTTTAAGTCTGAATGAAGAATTTTCTTTTGTTTTTTTTGCTTTAATATATTTTTAGTCAACTATACTCTGCTTCATGTTGGTCAGTGCTGGACACTTTAACATTTATGAAAACTTCATGTCCTGTAGGTTGTCTTAAAGTTGCAACTCTTATTCCAAGCAATTTGTGTAATCCATTACCAACACTGACAGTTGCCCTGTTACTCAAAAGTTAGTGTCCTGTTGTGACATTACTAAACAAATGTAACTAATTAAATCAAACACAATTATAAAAACAGATTTCACAATGGGAATGCACCTAAAATGGCACATAAAACATGTTTCTGTTGTTTAGATATAATGGTACATACATTCAAACACATTTAGCAGTAGTGAGTTCGGTATTTACTGTCTGTGCTCGAATCTTTCTATGTAGGTCAACCAGACAGTGGTGCGAGCACACCGGATGAGAAAAAGCCCCTCATTGATGATGGTAAGTTTTCTGTTCATTAACCTTTTTAAATTCAGAACCGTCATACAGTACTATTCCATAACACATTCAAAACCCTTTTCTGTCAGAAAGGGGACACTTACGGTTCTTAACACATGTGATTTTCAAACAAATTTACTTTCCCCTTAAATACAACAGTGGCTAAGTTTCATACGTTTGATAAAATTTGAAATATAAATATTTAGATCCATATTACAAGTGTAATTGTAATCCATCTGCTTTACAAATATAAGACCTACATTTCCACTAAATAATGGAATTTATAAATATTTCTGTGTTGAATGTTTTAAATGTTTATTTTTTATATATATATATTTATACATTCCTTTGCAGACGGAGCTTCTTATCCAAGTAAGTAACTTATTTCTTTGCCAATCCTTTTGTGAATCACCTTAGTTCTCTGTAGAAAATACAAGTGTCAGGCAGATTAAGATGTTTTTTAGGTTACTGAGCTCTTTATTGCTACAAAGATGTACTAACATATATCTTTATTTGTAGGTCTAAATTCTGAGAACTCCTCTGGATCAGGCAAGTCACACCCCATGATTTTCTACACTTTTGAATTTTATTTTTATATGAAATTTCTTTTAAATCCCAAAGTGTAAAGCCCAGATTTCCATTGTGTAAATAACTGTTTCACTTGAGAGGCTTTTCACCCACAGTAAGAATTAGTTTTATTTTTTTATTCAGAGTTGTTTTATCATGACAGACGTCCACTTCTTTCCCTGCTTTGATCACTTGAGTATTAAAACTATGAACCACTAAGACTTTCTCATAATAGAGTCCAGTATAGGATAGATAATCACTTTTGCCATCACAGAGGAAGAAAAAGAAGCTCATAGTTAGATGAAGTAGACAAGGCAAATATGTCTTATTTTCTTAAAAGTATTGAAGAAGTTGATTTAACATGAACATATTCTGTGTGTTCTTTAGAACAAACCAATCCATCCCAAGATTCTGGTGCTGATGGTAAGTAACTTTACACAAATTGAAACTTTTGCTGTGCACATTTTGTAAAAAAAATAAAATAAAATAAAATAATAAATACCTTTTTTTTTTCCTGCAGATTCATCTCCTAGTTCCAACAATCAGAGTGATGAAGAAACGAGTCTGACTAATTAGCCATCTCAGTCGTTTGGAGCCAGATTATAATATGACAAAAATAATGAGAAATAAGTCATGATCCCAAGCAGATCTATAAAATCTAACATATAAAGTTATCTGAGGAATAAAAAAAATAAGTTTTCTCATAAATATATTTACTAAATGTTTGGGAACATGTAGTAAACACTAGGGACAAAGTAGTCAGTAAAGATGCCAGTACCTAATTACAAATAAGAAGAATTGGGAAGATGAGTATATTCAGGTTTTTGTCTTTTCAGTTGAGGACGTTACACTGTGATGCATTAAAAATTATCTTTTTCCGTCTGACAAATCTGCTAAAATCCCCCCAACAAAAGACAGCAAATTATTTTAAAAAAGTTTGAAGTGAAAAAAAAGACTGTAAGACTTCAAAATAAGAACAAATACTGCAGTGGGAGGTTTTTTTTTTTTGTGTGTAGATCTATAATAAATCAAACTCACAGTTTGAAAGTATTTTGAGTTAGCCAAGCAGGTCAAGTTTGTTACAAGATTACACAAGCTATTTGTACTCATCTATGAATAAGGGCAGTTTAGTTATTCTCTAAGCTTCATGAATGTGTTTCATTACTTTTTGAAGTCTGTATTACATTATTGCTTTAAAAGTTTTTACTCTAGTTTTTAGGGTTTTTTTATTTGTATTTTGGGACATGGGGGGCTTTTAATGACTAAATATTTTCTACTGTATTTGCACTGGTGGTACAAAGATTGATTTATTTTTCTTTGTCTAATTGTGACATTGTGAACAAAGGATAAGTATTTCCAACTTTTCTCTAATGATTAAATCATCAAGTGATGTATGCAACTAGATGTTTACGTAGAATCTTTGCAGTATCTTTTAGCTCACCGTATTGTTACGTTTGCTACTCATTGGTCTGTTGAGATTTAAAAAAAAAAAACTGTATTTTCTATCTGAATAAAACAAAGAATTATTGAAGTTGTTTCTGTTTTATGATGCAATTTATTTTTACCTAATGAACTGTCACTGAGATATATTTATTTAATAGTTTTCTTGATCCCATCCAGATTATTTACAAATGAGAAGGTTTGTAGTTTATGTGAAGATGTTTAGAAATATTTTTAACAGGGCTTAGATACATCAAGAAGCACAAATATTCCCAGAGTTCTCTCAGAGCGCTCCCATCTCAGAATTAAAATGTCTGCCAATGTGTCCTAACTTGAGATCGGTTCTGTCAGCTGCTGAGAACGTCTGAATTGAGCTGAAATGGAGAGATGACAGAAATTCTCATCTTAGTGGTTTGACCCTGTTGCTAGGTGTGATGCTGTCTTTTGGTTCCTCTTCTTCTATTTTTATTTACTGCCACCAACTGGTCAGGAGTATGTATCAAATATCATCCTCCAAAAAATCTTGTCATCCTGTCATAAGGTAGTCTGTCTAAAAAGAATAATATGGCCTGGTAACTTTTACTTTTTGAGAGTGGAATAAATCAATAAGGTCCACTTTGGCAGTGATTGGTTGATACACAAAACAAAGTAGGAGACAAAAAAATCCAATGCACCCCAGAAATCAGATGATAAAAATTTACCAGTGAGTCTCGATTAAGAAAAGAGTCATGATGGGATATTGAAACTGTGCAAGAATGCATTAATTGCACAGACTCAACATTTGATTTTAACTTGATTAAATATAGGCTATAAGTGTAGTTTTGAATCTAAATCTTTTTTGTTTGAGTTGGATTAGCTTTTTATGTTTTTTGATATTTTGTTTCTTTGCATTTGGCTTTTCTATGGTCTCATCTAATTATATTTTTATGATTATTTGTTTAAATAATTCATCTGAGTTCCCTCTATATAAAAAAAACAATTTTTCATGTTACAGTTTGTTTGTTTTAACACAAAACCTTGGAGTTTTAATATATGTTATTTATGATAATAAATATTAAAATTATTAATGAAATTTAGTTATTTGTTTAATAACTTTATTTTCCATGGCAGATGTGAAAGTGGTTGGAAAGTGTGTGTCTTTAAAAAAGGAAGTCAAAAGTTCTCTAATTTATGATGTTCCCTGAAGGCGAATTGGTAAATCATTAACAGGAACCTACCATAAAACACAGAGAACATTCTAACAAATCAGCTTTTGTAACAAACACGGATAGGATCGCCGTCAAACAGCCGAACATAAGTACTTCTCCACGAAGAAGAGAACCTATTTTGGGTTCAGAATGTCGCTCCTCGCTGTTTTGGTCCTTTTGGGGACTGGAATGACAGTGAACAGCGGTAAGTTTCAGTTTTTCTCTCTTTTTTTTGACAAATTTAAGTTTATTTTTAAAAGTGAAAGCAAAACTGTGACATTTGTCTTAGTAACTGATTTTATGTGCTATTACACTTCTAAGAATGGTTAAGATTTACCAATGTAGACTTTGTTAATAAAATAGAAACATGATACTGTAGACAAAGGTGGAGCATCTCAGGTAACCAAAAAGATCACCTAAATTCCACCTTTTGTGCTTGTTAAATACTGAAGTGTTAAGAATGCTGATGATTAATAAAACAAATCTAGAATTTCTAAAAAGGTGAAAACCTAAAAGAAAAATCATTGAGCCCTCACCTGTGATTGGCTCAGAACGTAATAGACTGAGTGGTAAACAAGGGTGCAAAGTACAAAAGATAACTGCCCTCATAAAGTTATTGTGGCTTTTTCATGTTGTTTCTATACTTCATGTCCTTGCCTTTTATAAAAAAAAAAGCCCGCATCCCTCCATTATGGAGCCCTGTGCAATATAAAGGGTATTTTACTTCCCAACAAGTTAGATAACACAACAAAGGTTGAGAGGAGAAAACAATTACTAAATGATGTTTGTCAGTTGTGACAGCGTGACACTCATATAGTTGCAATAGCTTAGAATAAATATGATAAGACGTCATAAGTGACCTTTGTTACTCTTGTCCTCCAGTCTTATGGGTTTTATTGTCTCAAGTAGGAAGATAAGTTTAATAAATCTGTAAGGTGTGTCCAAGTACTAAATCGAAAGTACATCATCGAAAATTTCCTTAAACCAGTATCATAGGGTCTGACCTTGGAGGGTTGATTAAAGTTGATATACAGCTGTAGAGTGGACAAGTTTTCTGCCAAAGTGAGATCTCTTGAAGCTTAAAGATCTTAGAAATTTGTGATGTCTCTCGCCTTTTTCTTACTATTGCATTGGTGACTCTATTGTTTGTCTTTTACAAGGGTTCAGAGGGAAAATGAATTTTATAAAGTATTTGAAAGGTTTATTTATTTTCTTAGGAAAAGACTTCCGTCATGACACCAGGGCCCCATTTCAGAATGCAGGGTTAACAGGATAAGAAGGCAGATATTCTGAATAAACCTGCTAGGCTCTGAGATACTAAGAATTTTGGGTTTCAGAATAGTGGATATGAACAAGGTGACCCAATTCTGAGTCAAGTAACCCTAAGTTAAACCTGAATGTAGAAGAAGGTTTCAACAATGGAACGCAGATAATGCAGTTCACTATGGCAAAGGAAGAAAAAACAAGCCTGAAAGTGCGCATTTCTCACTAATTGAATTAGAAATGTAATTATGGCATAAGGAGAATACCAAAACATATTTAACAATAACAAAAAAAAAACAAAACAAAAAAAAATTGCTTCTGCAAAATAGCAACAGTTGTGATTCACTTATCCCACTTTCTGAAACGAGGTTCACGTAAACAATGCATCAGCAATGGTTAAATTTAGCTTTTTGTATGCGGCAGTTTTACATTATGTCTAGTTGTTTAGGGTTGCATTTTCATAAAGTATAGACATAAATGTGAATAACATGCTTAAATCTCAAAAATCAGTCTATAATTTGTGTGATTTGTTTTTTGTTGCTCTAAATGACATAATATCTGTTTCCAGTGATTGTGTAGTTGGCCTCTGTTTTGACCAGTTTACAATTATGAAGCAGCCATGAAATGATCTATACTGGGAACAAAACAGTGTCAAACAACCAACACAGCAAAATATGATGTTAAAGGAAACTAAACAAGAAAAGCCCAATATTTGTCAGAACATATGTAAAATAAGATGTGATGAGACTTATGATCTCCCCTGATTTAAGAACTTTTCTACAATAAAGCAACTGCTTAATGACAACAGAAATGACCTTAAGAAACTCTTGCTAGTGTGTGTACAAATGAGGGTTGAACACACAGCCTTGAAGTGCTCCATTGTTTGTGATATTTGTCATAGAATCTGTTTTAATATTCTGTTTCTATATTAAATTAATGGCCACACCTGATTCAAGATGTTCTGAACCTTATAGATGATAAACTGTGTGGAAATTTTGAGATCAGTTTTTTGGTTGATTTATTTTTTTTCCAACTTAAGACGTTCCATTTCTGTGAAAGCATCCTTCCCAATTCTCTGTTTCAGATTTGGCCTTAAGACAGATTAATGTGTCTGTATGTTAGAAAATATTTTTTGAAGTGTTGACCTAACTTATTTAGAAATTCAATTTGTCTAAAACAGACTTGAATATAATAAAATGGCAAGAGCATTTTTTTTACAAAGGTTTTAGCCTAAATAGTCATTTCAAGAAGGCTTGCACAGTAATAAATTGTCACTGATATTATAAATGTAATTTGCATCTTCATTTTTCTGTCTTTTGTCTTACAGAAAAACATTCCCTCACCTACATCTACACGGCCTTCTCCAAACCAGTGAATCTCCCGGGGCTGCATGAGTTCACTGCTATGGGTTTACTGGATAACAGTATGATCGACTACTATGACAGTGAGAACCAAGTTAAAGTTCCCAAACAGGACTGGATGAAACAGCATCTTGAACCAGAGTACTGGGAGAAAGGCACCCAGTCCAGAAAGAGCAAGGAGCAATGGTTCAAGGTCAACATCGACATATTGATGAAACGAATGAGACAGAATGACAATGGTGAGATCCAATGATTTTAGCCTATAATAAAAATACTAAAATAATAATAATAATCTATAAATGATGCATGTTAAATCTAAACAGCAGGATTGCAGTTAATTTATTCTCTAAATATTTTCTTGCATGTGAAATCTTTAATGTTTTGGTTTTTAATTTTTTCAAATTTTGTTCTTACAGACACCCATATTCTTCAGTGGATGCATGGCTGTGAGGGTGAAACTCAGCCTGATGGCACGATGAAGTTTGTCCGTGGGATGGACATGTACAACTATGACGGAAACGACTTTCTGTCCTTCGATGACAACCATCAGGTTTGGGTTGCTCCCATTCATGCAGCAGAAGAAACCAAGAGGAAGTGGGATGAGGTCCAGGTGCTGAAGGAATACACCAAGGGCTACCTGGAGAAGGAGTGCATGGAATGGATGAGCAAGTTTAGAGGCTTTGGGAAAGAGAAGATTGAAAAAGCCTGTATGTATAACATAATCAGACTTTTTCGCTATTCTACATATAGTTTCATCAAAAATAGTGAATTCATTCAGTTTTTGAGAAAGAAAACATAGTTTTTTTCTTTTCTACTAAATCAAAGCATTTGTCTAAAGATCTGAAGTGTATATCTAAAGTAGAAAGATGTTTGTAAAATAAGGTAATACTTTGTCTAAGAAATGTAGCATTTATTTCTCTTCTGTGAGGTTTTGCTTTTCTATATAGTTAAATTGATAAAATAGAAAAGTTAAAATGATCTAAACATTGAATTGCTTCCCTGCTAATGCCACATTTCATTTTGTTTTTCAAGCTCCACCTGAAGTCTACCTGTTCACACGAAAGGTTAACATTGAACAAAACATTATCTTGACGTGTCTGGCAACGGGCTTCTATCCAGGAGAAATAATCCTGAATATCAAAAGAAATGGGCGTGTCCTGACTAAAGAGGACGGGTTGGTGACCTCTGGATATCGCCCAAATCATGACCACACCTTCCAGAGGAGAGATCACGTAGAGATTTTGAAGTCTGATGTTTCCGCCTACATCTGTGAAGTCGAGCATCTTGCCTCTAAAAGGCATGTTAATCAGACATGGGGTGAGAACCTTTTTGTTCTACTTCTATATCTAAGCTTACTTATTTAGTTCAGTTCAGTTCAGTTCACTTTACTTAGGTAAATTATCAACATTAAACAGAAAACAATACTAATCAACAAACCCATAATTTACCAAAGAAGGAATAGACTGAAGCCAAAGCTTATACTTGCGTACCCTGTTCATATGCTTTGCAGCCTTAGCAGTTATAAGTTAAACTCAAATGAGAATTGTTGGCTGGTTGGTCAAGTTCAGTTCTCATTCAACACCCAGCATACTAAAAGGGTTGCTACTGTGTTAGCTTACAGTGAATAAGAGAAATAAAAAAGATAAATGAACATTTAAAACGTATTGTAATTCATAAAATATGAGTATATGTATATGTATATGCTATAAGTAAAATTACATTAATGTTAATATGGTTTTTTTTAAAAAGACATTTTTCCAAAAGTCTTTGGTATCATGAATATGTTTACTTATTTATTTTCTTTAGGGCTTTTTTCAAGCTACAATTTTGCCATGTCTCTTTCTTTTTGTTGAACGTTGAACACTGACTATATGAAACCTTCAGTGCTTTACAAGTTTGGGGTTTGTTTGTGTCCTGGTAGACGAGTTGATGCTTTTAGAGCAATTTTGGCAGACACTCCTGAGAAGGTTAATCCCTGTTTCATAGCTTACTGTAGTTAAGAGTCCAAAAGTCTTAGAAATGATTTGTAGCTTTTTCCTGACTGATTGTCAGAAAATGTTTATACTGTTTGATTTCTTTAGATCAGCATGATAGGTTGATTTAAAAAAATGCCTAGTTTGTTTTGTCTGACGGGTTCTACTTCAGATTGTGCAGGTTTGAGGGTGAAGTGTGGCTAAAAAAAATGATTTCTGTTTTCCAGAAAAGTGGTCAGGTCATGATTTTGCCAATGAAAACTGCTTTTTGTATTTATTGTGATTATCTCTGAAAACAACATTTGTTTGATGATCTGAAACATTTAAATGTGAGAGAAGACAATGGTAGAATAAGGGGAGAATATACTTTCTTTTTTACAGCACTGTAAGTTAAGTTATTTCATATACAGCTAAAGTTCAAGTGGTCCCATATGAAATTCCACACATTATGTATTGAAAGCGAACTAAATCTAATATGAAATTTGTTTTGTTGTAGAAAACCCTTTTGTAGAAGACAAAGGAAATACCAACGTCATCATTGCTGCTTCTGCTTCTATCGTGATTGTGGTTGTGGCTGTTGCTGTGACACTTGTCTGCCTTAAGCTGAAGACAAGTCGACTTGGTAAGATTGTTTTACACGTCTCTTGAAAATATACAGTTGATGCCTCCTTACATCCCTTTTGTTAACTTTGTTTCATCTGCATACATTAGAATAAAATACCTGATGAAAATGTTAATCAAAAAATGTAAAAAGTCATTGTTAAATTGTACTAAAACTCACATTTACACCAATGTACACACTAACTGTATAGTCTTTTCATTATGCAAATAAATAGGTCTATTAAATTTGCTCTTGTCAGGTACAGAGGTCTCTATTGTTTTATTATGAACTAAATGAGGTATCAAAGTAAATGGTTGAACAGTTCTTCATTACAATGAAAATTAATTAATCTGTTTCCTTTCTTCATGATAGCATATCATGAGGTTTTAAATCCATTGAAGTGTTGCCCCCAACCAAAAGCAAGATACAAGATTTATCAAGAAATCAAGCCTAGTATTCGTTTATTTCTTTGACCAGAAAAACCCTGAAAGTCTTCTAATCATTTTCATTTTCATGTGTACAGTTCAGATATATTTTCATTTATTTTGATTATTTTATAATATAACCCTGAGTCTTGCTTTGGGACAACCATAAACACTGAGCTGGAGCTTGTAACAAAAGTGTTAAAACATTTCTAGTATTGAAGAAAATTAAATAGAAATATTTTGTTATTGAATGTTTTAATAAATATGTGTCTTCATTAATAGATTGTGATGAAGAAAATTCTCCTCATTCAAGTAAGTACTTAATTTCAGTGCATTTGTAAATCACCTTAATACTCTGTGTCAGGCATATTAGAATGATTTTTGTAATTACTGGGCTGTTCATTGTTCCAAATATATACCAATATATGTCTTTATTTATAGGTTTAAATTCTGTGGCCACCTCTGGATCTGGTAAGTCACACCCATTGATTTTTTACACTGAAAAATGTTCTGTCTGCTATTTCCTAGAAAGCCTTAGTAAATCATAGTCTCATATACTTTGATGTAAATGACTGTCTCATATAAAAGGTTACTCAGGAAACAAAGTGACTTTTTTAAATCAGAGTTGTTTTAACATGGCAGTCATTCATTTAGTCCTTGGTTCTGCTCTGATTAATCTTAAGTGCTGAAACAAATTTCTGTTTGGTAAAACTTATACTAATAGAGTTCATTGCAAGAAAGATAATTTCTAGACTTATCACATAGCATCATAAGCTCCTTTTTTCTTAAAAGTAAAAAGGTATATTAAAGACATGTTAAAGCATATCAAAATTGGTCATTTGAAAATATTTATCAGTATTTTCAAAATAAATACAGCACTTTGCAAGAAGTCTGGGTAACACTTTATTTGATAGGTTATGAATAAGCCTGTCATGACACCGTCATAAACATGACATAACACCTGTCATGAATGTGAGTACGATAAGTCTTCATGAATATTTATGACTGTTGTCATAAAGTGTCATGATTCGGTAAATCATGACAGTTTTAATACAAAGTTGACATTACTCAAAATGTCTTTGTTATGACAACTTGACATTAACCAAGAAATCATGATCTGACATACACTTGTTAAAGTATTACTGATCATACTTTAAAATTATGTAGATTTATGTTCTTAAAGATAAAGTTTAATTGAGTAATTCTAAAATGCCAAATGTCAAAATTAGGATGCAATTTTGACTTTAAATATGTATTTAATTTACATATTTTAAGTAAATTTAAATATGCATTTTAAATTAAATGCATTTCTAGAGCCATAATTTTGTTTTAGCCATAGAATTTAAACTAAAATATTGTTATCTTGAAGTCTTAGTTTGTATTCTTTTTTTTATTTAGTTTAATTTTAGTCACCTAATGTTTACTAAATGTTTGTTAAAATGTGCTTCAGCATATTAAGGAGAGTAAATCATCATCTTTGTGACAGAGACTTTGCATGGGGCTCCATGAGCTCTGAATCTGGTTGTTACTGCGACATTTGTGTAGCATTTATGCAAATTTCTTATATACGTAATTATTCGTAAAGTTGCAAAAAATTTTCCTAAGAAATTTGTCAACAACCTTAAAATCTATGGCAGCCTCCTTTCAATCATATTATACATGCCACAGTTTTAGATGCATAGAAACATTTTATTTTATATTTGAGCTCTCCATTACCAATATTTATATTTAATTTCTTGCTTTTAAACATAAATTAAAGGATATTTTTGTAATGCAATTAATTTCTCATTATATGTGGGTAGATGTCGTAGTTTTCTCCCCATTGCATCGCACTTAAGTGTTATAGCATTTTCAGGCTAACAAGAATTTTTCCTAATGTTTTATCTGGTGTAATAAAGTTTTAACTATTTAACTTAAAGTGTGAAAGCAATCTTATCCAAAAAAACAAGAATGCCTTGCTGTGAAATTATTGAACAAATTGGATCAAATTACTGTTAAACTGATTGCACAATTGGAATACACCGAAAATAACAGATTAAAGAGATATGTTTCTGTTATGATATTACGTTACAAATATTCAAAAATAGGTAACAATAGTGAGTTCTGTATTTACTGTCTGTGTTTGAATCATTTTGTGTAGATAAACCAGTCAGTGATATAGAGAAACCTGATGAGAACAAGCCCCTCCTTGGTACTGGTAAGATTTTTTTCCAGTACTCTTTTCAACATTCATACAGTCGTAGCATTAAAGTGGTAAATGCAAACTTATTCTCTGTCAGACAGGGGAGACGCGTCAGTGTTTCTTAAGCAATATGCTTTTCATGCAAATGTATCTTTTTCCCCAGACATGTCTGTGACTAAACTTTTCACATACCATCATAAGCTCCTTTTTTTCTTCACAGAAAAAAGATTTAAAGATATATTAATGCATATCAGATGAAAATGTTTATCAGTATGTTCAAAATAAATAAAGCACTTTGCAAGAAGTCTGACAAATGAAATACAGTTTTAATTTAATGTCCTGTGTATGACTGTCAGTGCAGACAGTAACTCTGGCAAGCAAACATAGTTTTTCAACAGTGTTATTTTTTATGCTGTTAAGATAAAAATGTATAAAACAGATTTAAGGACATGAATCCTGCTGCTTATTATTGATATTTGTTGTAGATGAAAATACCAAAGATGCAAAACCAGCTGAAGAAGCTGAAGAATCAGTTTCTGTGTTGTACAGAAACTGATTCTTTCTGTTCAACACATTTTGTTTATTTATACATAATAAATTCACAATAATCGCTGCAGAGTTAATTCTGTAAAATATTTTGATTGGTCCAGTTATGTTTCCTCTAAATTAATAAAAGTAATTTAGTAATTCTAAAATGCCAAATGTCAAAATTAGGTTGCAGTTTTGATTTCAAATATGTATTTAAAGTACATATTTTAAGTACATTTAATATGCATTTTAAATTAAATGCATTTCTAGAGCCATAATTTTGTTTTAGCCATAGAATTTAAACTAAGATATTGTTATCTTAATGTCTCAGTTTATATTTTATTTTTTTTATTTAGTTTAATTTTAGTCAACTAATGTTTACTAAATGTTAGTTAAAATGTGCTCCAGCATATTAAGGAGAGTAAATCATCATCTTTGTGACAGAGACTTTGCATGGGGCTCCATGAGCTCTGAGTCTGGCTGTTACTGTGACATTTGTGTAGCATTTATGCAAATTTCTTATATACATAGTTTGTCTTTAAGTTGCAAAAAAAAAAAAAAATCCCAAGAAATTTGTCAACAACAACTTTAAAATCGTGCAGCCTCCTTTCAATCACATTATACATGCCACAGTTTTAGATGCATAGAAACATTTCATTTTATATTTGAGCTCTCCATTGTCAACACACAATAACAACTTTCATCAAAATACACTACATTTCAACATTTATATTTAATTTCTTGCTTTTAAATATAGATTAAAGGATATTTTTGTAATGTAATTGTTTTGCAGAATGAACCCATTTCTCATTATATGTGGGTAGATGTCGTAGTTTTCTCCCCATTGCATCGCACTTAAGTGTTATAGCATTTTCAGGCTAACAAGAATTTTTCCTAATGTTTTGTCTGGTGTAATAAAGTTTTAACTATTTAACTTATAGTGTGACAGCGATCTTATCCAAAAAACAAAAAAAGTGCCTTGTTGTGAAATTATACAAATTGGATCAAATTACTGTTAAACTGATTGCACAATTGGAATACACCGAAAATAACAGATTAAAGAGATATGTTTCTGTTATGATATTACGTTACAAATATTCAAAAATAGGTAACAATAGTGAGTTCTGTATTTACTGTCTGTGTTTGAATCATTTTGTGTAGATAAACCAGTCAGTGATATAGAGAAACCTGATGAGAACAAGCCCCTCCTTGGTACTGGTAAGATTTTTTTCCAGTACTCTTTTCAACATTCATACAGTCGTAGCATTAAAGTGGTAAATGCAAACTTATTCTCTGTCAGACAGGGGAGACGGGTCAGTGTTTCTTAAGCAATATGCTTTTCCTGCAAATGTATCTTTTTTCCCCAGACATGTCTGTGATTAGGTTTCAAAACTTTCCTAAAATTTGAGCAGTACATATTTTCATCTGTGTTAAAGGTGTGATAAAACTGATTTATTAGTAATTTTAATAAAAATATTTTTGCAAGGTTTTGCCACTTATCGTAAAATTACATTTTTATTATTTTGTCCCACATTCCTTCTGCTTTGCAACTACTAAGCCTACATTTACTAAGTATTAGTGGGACAAAATTAACAATAGTTTGTAGTTGAATCTTTTAAAAACTGTTTTTTGTTGGGGTTTTTTGCCCTGAAGATAAATTCTCCAATCTAATTATTTTTTATCTTTGCTAAAGATAACTCGCGAATTTACCTTACTACTACATCAAAACAAGAAGCAAACTATATTTTTTTTGTTTTATATACATATATAAGCCTTTATATGTATAAATATACACCACCATATGTCTTTATTTGTAGATCGAGATTCATTGATCACTTCTGAGTCGGGTAAGTCACACCCATTGCTTTTCTAAACTTTCAAATATTGTTTATCTCAAAATTTCCTATAAATCATATGGTGTAAAAAAAACAAAAAACAAAACCCCGTCTGGAGGGCGCGACGCGCCGATGATGTGTTTGCATTCACTTCAGTGCCCTACGGTCCCATAACAGGGTAAATGTAGTGAGTTGTACCTTTCACCTACCTTCGTGTCGGGGAGGGAGGGGAGGGTACAGTGAGCGTATGCTGTGTACGCATCATCCACCTGAGAAATGTGTTCCTTCGGTGGGGGCGGGGCGCCGACTTACGTGTTCGCAACCACCTGAATAATATGTAGTTGCGACCCTGAAAGTGATGAAATGCCTGATGAACTCGTATCCACTTCCTGAGCACATTTTTCCCAGCATTTACTCAGATTACATATTGATCTGTAATGTGACCAAAAATGTTAGTTAATGAAAAGTTATCTTTAAATGTCTGTGATTAGGCTTGAACACTTTGATAAAATGTGATATATAATTATTATTTCATCTGTGGCTATGCTAAATAGTCATGGAAAGTTCCATTGTTGTGAACCAGCTATAGTATAGCAGAGAAAAAAGAGGAAGAGGTGAGCAATGCTTACACAAGGGTGATTTACAGCGCTAAGGCCATCCTCCTGGATTTGACTGATTGTTTGATGGAGCAGTGTGTTTGTGTAGATAATAGTAGGACCAAAGGGAGGAGGCAGAGGAACTTGATTTTTTTTTCTCACAGATTATCTGTCTCATTTTACGTTGTCACAACATAGTTATAGCTTTAGCTATTTTTATGTAAAAACATATGTTTTCATTAAAGTTACATACTGCAGTTTTAATAGTGTTATGAAATTGATTATTCAGTAATTTTAGTGAATAGAATATTTATTTGCAAGGATTTGCTGCAGATCATAACTTTGTTTTTTTTATTAATAGGTTTCACTGAAGATAGAGCCTCTAATCCAAGTAAGTACTTCATTTATTTGTGATGCATCACCTTACTACTCTGTTGAAAGTACATGTCATGCACTCTAAGGTGGACTTTTTTTTTAGAATACTGAACTGTTTATTGGTTCAATGATATGTAAACATATGTCTTTCTGTGTAGGTCTACATTCTGAGGACTCCTCTGGATCAGGTAAGTCACACACATCGATTTTCTAAACTTTGAAACTGTTTCAACGTTGAATTAGGGAGCGTGGCCAGCAGCTTATTTAGATTTAAAGTCACAAGTGGCCCTAAAACAGCTCATTCTGGAAGGAGCTCAAACTAGTCAGAACTGACCAGACTGAAACCTCATTATCTAAGAATGACGTTGTAAAAAGAAAAAAAAAACATGTTTTGTATAGCTCACAAACCTATCCTAAGCTGTTCAAGGAAACATAAATTACCTTTACATTTACATTTGTGGCTTGTCCAAATGAAAGGGCAGAAATAATTAACTTGTAAAACTTTAAACATTATTCAGGAAACTCTGAATTGTCTGAGTGACAAGCTTTCAGTTATGCCCTCTGTGCTTGTAGATATCTATATGGCTCATTTCCTGTGCAAGGATCAATAATATATTGGGTAGCATATGAGGCAGCTTTGGATTGAAATATGCCACAGAAAGCACATCTGAAACGTTTCTTCATACAGCTTGGCCAATTATGTATGCATTCTGTTAATAAACTTTATACAACATCAGCTGTGTGCACATTTCTAAGTCATGAATATGAACACATTTTCTGTATCTTTTAGGAGAAACCAATCCATCCAGCGATTCTGGTGCTGAACGTAAGTAACTTCACACTCAAAATGTTTGCTGTGTGTTTCAATAGAAGCACAGAAAGAACATAACTAGCACAACAACAACAAAAAAACCAACTTCTTGTGTTACTTATGTTCACTGTTTTGTAAAAAATAATGTAACCCAATTTTTATTTACTTCTGCAGCGGGCTCATCTTCTAGTACCAGCAGTGACAGTGAGTGACACAAGTCTGATTAATTAGCTTTCTCAACTGTTTGGAACCAGATTTACCAGAATACATAAAATAATCATGGCAAGACATTGTATAGAAACTTTAAAAACATACTGATCTCTAAATGAAAAAAAAAAAAAAAACTGAATTTGGGCTAATTCAGTCTCTGCTTTATGTTTAACCCTGATTGTCTCCAGTAACCCATAGTCCAATTTAAAAGAAACAAACTAATGAAAACCTTGTAGAAATTGTTTACTGAGACAAGTTTTCTTTTTGTTGTCAGGTACAGAGGTCTCTATTGTTTTATTATGAACTAAGGTCAAACTAAATGCTTGAACAGTCCATTATTACATTGAAAAGTAGTCAGTCTGTCTTTCTTCATGTTAGCATATCATGAGGTTTTAGATCCATTGAAGTGTTGCTTCCAACAAACAACAATATACAACATTTATGAAGAAATCAACTGTAATATTCCTTTTCTGTTTTTCTTTTGACCAAAAATACCCTGAAAGCTTTCCAATCATTTTAGTGTGTACAGTTCAGATATATTTTCATTTATTTTGACTATTTTATTTAAATAATATAACCCTGAAACTATAGTGTTATCTCTTGCTTTCGGAACACCATAAATACTGAGCTGGAGCTTACTGCATGATGAGTAGTGATCAAAATTTCTAATCAAAAGTGTTAAAACATTTTTAGTATTTAAGAAAATGAATTACAAATATTTTGTTATTGAATGTTTTACTAAATAATAAATATGAGTCTGAATTAATACATTGTGATGAAGAAAATTCTTCTCATTCAAGTCAGTACTTCATTTCAATGCATTCGTCAATCACCTTAATACTCTGTGTCAGGCATATTAGGATGTCTTTTGCAATACTGGACTGTTCATCGTTTCAAAGATATACCAATATATTTCTTTATTTGTAGGTTTAAATTCTATTCCCGACTTTGGATCTGGTAAGTCACACCCATTGATTTTCTACACTGAAAAATGTTCTGTCTATTTCCTATAAAGCCTTAGGGGTAAACCAGAGTCTAATGTAGTTTGATGTAAATGACTGTGTCATATAAAAAGGTGCCCAGGGAATCAAGTTACTTTTTTTAATCAGTCGTTTTAACATAACATTCATTTATTCCTTGGTTCTGCTCTGATTAATCTTAAGTGCTGAAACAAATTTCTCTTTGGTCAAACTTATTCTAAAAGAGTTTATTGCAAGATAGATAATTACTACACTTGTCACATAGCATCATAAGCTCCTTTTTTCTTCAAAGAAAAAATGTATATTAAGGATATGTTATAGCATATCGGATGAAAATGTTCAAAATAAATACTGCACTTTGCAAGAAGTCTGACAATGAAATACAGTTTTAATTTAATGTCCTGTGTATGACTGTCAGTGCAGACAGTAACTCTGGCAAGCAAACATAGTTTTTCAACAGTGTTATTTTTTATGCTGTTAAGATAAAATTATATAAAACAGATTTAAGGACATGAATCCTGCTGCTTATAATTGATATTTGTTGCAGTTGAAAAGGCCAAAGATGCAAAACCAGCTGAGAAAGATAATCTGCCGCAAAGTAAGTGATACTTTCTGCTCAATAAATTTTGTTTATTTATACAGAATAAATTCACAATAATCATTGTAGATTTAATTGTGTAAAATACTTTGGTTGGTCCAGTTATATTTCCTCTAAATTAAGAAAAGTAATTTAGTAATTATAAGATGCCAAATGTCAAAATTAAGATGCAATTTTGACTTTAAATCTGTATTTAAAGTACATATTTTAAGTACATTTAATATGCATTTTAAATTAAATGCATTTCTAGAGCCATAATTTTGTTTTAGCCAAAGAATTTAAACTAAAGTATTGTTATCTTAATGTCTCAACTTGTATTCTTTTCTTTATTTAGTTTAATTTTAGTCACCTAATGTTTACTAACTGTTAGTCAGTTAAAATGTGCTTCAGCAATCAAGGAGAGTAAATCATCATCTTTGTGACAGAGACTTTGCATGGTGAACCATGAGCTGAGTCTGGTTGTTACTGTGACATTTGTGTAGCATTTATGCAAATTTCTTAAATACGTAGTTTGTCTTTAAGTTGCAAAAAATTTTCCTAAGAAATTTGTCAACAACAACCTTAAAATCTTGCAGCCTCCTTTCAATCACATTATACATGCCACAGTTTTAGATGCATAGAACCATTTCATTTTATATTTGAGCTCTCCATTACCAACACAAACTAACACATTTCATTAAAGTACATTACATCTCAACAATTATATTTAATTTTTGCTTTTAAACATAGATTAAATGATATTTTTGCAATGCAATTCTTTTGCAGAATGAACCCATTTCTCATTATATGTAGGTAGATGTCGTAGTTTTCTCCCCCTTGTATTGCACTTAAGAGTTATTCAAGTGTTATTACTATGAAAAATATCAGTGAATCATACTTTTGCTATCTGTGTTAAATATCAACTACCCTATCAACACACATTTCCATTGTTCTCTCACCAGATAAACTTAAAGTGCATGTGTTCACTCGTGAGGCCAAAGTCGAGACAAACACGATTTTGATGTGTCAGGCTACGGGCTTTTATGCAAAAGACATCATTCTGCATATCAAACGAAATGGCAGAATCCTTACTAAAGACGACGGGGTTCAGACCGATGGAGTTCACCCAAATAATGACAACACCTTCCAGAGAACAGATCATGTAGAGGTTTTGAAGTCTGATGTTGCTGAATACTCCTGTGAAGTCATTCATGAAGCCACTGATGTTCACATTCAGATGGAATGGGGTGAGAAACTTTTATTTCTACAGTATATCAGGGCATGATATTTTGATTTTACAACATAGATATTTTTGCAATGTTTTGTTTGGTAGATTCTACCTCAGTGAAAAGGAATATTAAGAATATGTTAAAGCATATCAGATGAAAATATTCATCTGTATGTCCAATCCAATCCAACTTTATTTATAAAGCACTTTAAAACAGCCACAGCTGATATAAACTGCTGTACATTAAAACACAACATAACAATTAAAAAATAACTCTTACAGTGTAAAATCAAACATTTTCAGAAATCTCTGTCCACCCTAAAAACCAAGATCTGAAATAACAAGTTTAAAATGTACCTCCAAAGGTCACAGGTCAACAGAGGAGGACTCACAGGAGCCACTGGGTCCAACCACCATCACCTTTGTTTTCTTTTCATTTAAATTTAAAAAAGTTCAAGGCCAACCAGGCTTTAATATCACCTACACATGCTAGTAGATGTTTGACGGAATGGACATCCTTCTGCCACAGGGGCAAATAAATCTGGCAATCGTCAGCATAACAATGAAATGAAATCCCATGTTTCCTGAGGATAGAACCCGGAGGCAGTAGATACAGAGAGAAAAGCAGTGGGCAAAGAATTGAGCCCTATAAAATAAATACAGCACTTTGCAAGAAGTCTGACAAATGAAAGTTTTAATTTAATGTCCTGTGTATATTTAAATTCTATTCCCGACTTTGGATCTGGTAAGTCACACCCATTGATTTTCTACACTGAAAAATGTTCTGTCTATTTCCTATAAAGCCTTAGGGGTAAACCAGAGTCTAATGTAGTTTGATGTAAATGACTGTGTCATATAAAAAGGTGCCCAGGGAATCAAGTTACTTTTTTTAATCAGTCGTTTTAACATAACATTCATTTATTCCTTGGTTCTGCTCTGATTAATCTTAAGTGCTGAAACAAATTTCTCTTTGGTCAAACTTATTCTAAAAGAGTTTATTGCAAGATAGATAATTACTACACTTGTCACATAGCATCATAAGCTCCTTTTTTCTTAAAAGAAAAATGTATATTAAGGATATGTCAAAGCATATCAGATGAAAATGTTCAAAATAAATACTGCACTTTGCAAGAAGTCTGACAATGAAATACAGTTTTAATTTAATGTCCTGTGTATGACTGTCAGTGCAGACAGTAACTCTGGCAAGCAAACATAGTTTTTCAACAGTGTTATTTTTTATGCTGTTAAGATAAAAATGTATAAAACAGATTTAAGGACATGAATCCTGCTGCTTATAATTGATATTTGTTGCAGTTGAAAAGGCCAAAGATGCAAAACCAGCTGAGAAAGATAATCTGCCGCAAAGTAAGTGATACTTTCTGCTCAATAAATTTTGTTTATTTATACAGAATAAATTCACAATAATCATTGCAGATTTAATTGTGTAAAATACTTTGGTTGGTCCAGTTATATTTCCTCTAAATTAAGAAAAGTAATTTAGTAATTATAAGATGCCAAATGTAAAAATTAAGATGCAATTTTGACTTTAAATTTGTATTTAAAGTACATATTTTAGGTAAATTTGAATATCCATTTCAAATTAAATGCATTTCTAGAGCCATAATTTTGTTTTAGCCAAAGAATTTAAACTAAAGTATTGTTATCTTAATGTCTCAACTTGTATTCTTTTCTTTATTTAGTTTAATTTTAGTCACCTAATGTTTACTAACTGTTAGTCAGTTAAAATGTGCTTCAGCATATCAAGGAGAGTAAATCATCATCTTTGTGACAGAGACTTTGCATGGTGAACCATGAGCTGAGTCTGGTTGTTACTGTGACATTTGTGTAGCATTTATGCAAATTTCTTATATACATAGTTTGTCTTTAAGTTGCAAAAAAAAAAAAAAATCCCAAGAAATTTGTCAACAACAACTTTAAAATCGTGCAGCCTCCTTTCAATCACATTATACATGCCACAGTTTTAGATGCATAGAACCATTTCATTTTATATTTGAGCTCTCCATTACCAACACACAATAACAACTTTCATTAAAGTACATTACATCTCAACAATTATATTTAATTTTTGCTTTTAAACATAGATTAAATGATATTTTTGCAATGCAATTCTTTTGCAGAATGAACCCATTTCTCATTATATGTAGGTAGATGTCGTAGTTTTCTCCCCCTTGTATTGCACTTAAGAGTTATTCAAGTGTTATTACTATGAAAAATATCAGTGAATCATACTTTTGCTATCTGTGTTAAATATCAACTACCCTATCAACACACATTTCCATTGTTCTCTCACCAGATAAACTTAAAGTGCATGTGTTCACTCGTGAGGCCAAAGTCGAGACAAACACGATTTTGATGTGTCAGGCTACGGGCTTTTATGCAAAAGACATCATTCTGCATATCAAACGAAATGGCAGAATCCTTACTAAAGACGACGGGGTTCAGACCGATGGAGTTCACCCAAATAATGACAACACCTTCCAGAGAACAGATCATGTAGAGGTTTTGAAGTCTGATGTTGCTGAATACTCCTGTGAAGTCATTCATGAAGCCACTGATGTTCACATTCAGATGGAATGGGGTGAGAAACTTTTATTTCTACAGTATATCAGGGCATGATATTTTGATTTTACAACATAGATATTTTTGCAATGTTTTGTTTGGTAGATTCTACCTCAGTGAAAAGGAATATTAAGAATATGTTAAAGCATATCAGATGAAAATATTCATCTGTATGTCCAATCCAATCCAACTTTATTTATAAAGCACTTTAAAACAGCCACAGCTGATATAAACTGCTGTAC